CATCCAAATAAAGACAAGTGAACAACTCTATGGCATCACATCTCCAACAATCTTCTATGTCATATGGTCCTCTATTATTTCATGCTGTCCCCCGCCCCTACCGCCCCTACCGCCCCTACCGCCCCAGACCCACTTGGTTCGAAATATTAGAGTTGAAATAAAAACGTTGGACGAGAAAACCCTGGTCCGTAGACAGGGTTGGATTAGGACACCCATACATCCATTAATCTGAGACCCGAAATAGCCTAAAATGTTGCTTATCTAGTGAAGTCTGAGATCCTGAACTCTTCACTTTCGTTTTCCTTGAAGTCTTTCCCTCTTTAATCAATAGATTGCGGTATGAACGTGGAAATTTAACTTGTTATTTTCTGCAATGCAATTGCTGTTGCATACTATTTACAGTTTTTATGATTGTTCCGTTCTTAAACTGTATTCTAAATTCGTTAAGCGGAAGCATCGATGACGGAGACGGTCGTAAATGAAACGTTCTGTTGTAGAGGTCTCTTACAGCTATTTATAGATGCACCAGCTTCATTGTGGCAGCGTTGTTGGTAATTGGAAGGGCGGATTTGTGCTGCAGCATATCATTATTGCAATAATGGCATAGCAATTTGCCTTGTCAATGGCCTGGATTGGCAGGCTAATACATAATAATACGCAGAACTGTCCTGGGATTCTGCAGTGCTCTACAGGGCAGCTGTGTTGACATTTTGACAGGGAGCAAGACTAAGTCTCCAAAAAAAAAAAATCAGAACTAACAAATAGGCAGAGAAAATGTACATGAAATGTCAGAGCAATATTTCAGATATTCAAAGAGATGTCCAGGCCAAAATATCAAAGTACCTAAACTGAAACAAAGACGGCTAAGAATATATTAGGAAGACAGTCTTTTTTGGTAGACGGATAATTATCTGTCGGAAACCTGAACGAGCCTATAATAATCTTGAACAAATCAAATATTTACTCAAGAACTGAGCGAGATCACGTCTTCCGTCACTGACTTTCAGCATTTGCTCAACTCTTTGGAAAAGTAATGTTTGAACACGGTGCTTGGAGGATAAATTAACTGATCAATAATTCTTTTTCATTCAACCGTGGGCGTGGGGAGAATGGAACACTCAGTCACTCAACGTTCAGACATTTAGACACATACGCACAAACAAACAAACAATCACGAGACCCTGAGCGAAATCAATTTTACTCATTAAAACGACCACTCCAGTCTGAGTGCTCCTCTTCGCTACACCAGAATTACAAAATTCTATCTACTCAGAGTGGGGGCGGTTCTTCTGAATGTCTCGCCGGGTATCCATCCACTCATTTTGGTGAACGTTTTTGAAGACAGAAGCGCTTTATGAAAGCCATGGTTGTTTTTATGGATTGTATTTACTAACCCCCCCC